AACAATCTAGCTTTGATGCGGATTGTGGCTAGACGTTCGTCCACCGGGGTGAACGCCAGTACTCGGCGACGGAATCTCTCTCCTACCACGAATCCAACACCGAATTTGCGCTCCTTTACGTGGCAACTGTAGTAGACGTCGCAAGGCTTCACGCTTACCTTTCCTTGCCACGTCCATCGCATTTCTTGGATGGCGGCGATGTCAGCCTTTGTCTTCCCGAGGACATCAACCAGCCGGGCAGAGGCACCTTCCCCATTAAGGGTCCGGATATTCCAGGTGCATACCTTTAAATCATAGTCCTTTATACTTTTGCCGTGGTCGTCATCAGAAAAAGGGGGTCTCATCCGAGGCTGTTTTTTTTCTTTTCATTAGGCGGGGTTTTAACGTGGCGGGACCCAAACCCAGCGCACGCGAAGTTACGTTACTAAAATTTCCATTGAACCTTTTTTATTAATATTGTTTTGAACAAATTTTTAACGCAATTAAAACATGAATTTTATGCCGAATATATTTTTATTTTGAGACCAATATTCAGATTTAATTTTTTGAATTTTGTATCGACATTTGCTTTTTTCCCGATATTAACGGGTGCCCTATATTTTTACAGCGATACTTTAAATGAGTACTACATCCATTCTTTCGGATCAATATCGTGTCCCTACTTGAACTCTTTTGCAATTGAATATTTTATGGGATCTTTTAGAGCCGAATTCACAGCGCTTGGTTAAACAATTGTTAACTTAACCATCAACAAGAATGAACTTATATTCAGCGTCACAAAGCTAACTATGGAAATTCATATCGCCTGAAAATATAGAATTTGTATATTATTTATTTGTCTATACAAATTTGATTTTCGTTCCGCAAAAAAATCAATTTTACAAGAGTTTAACCATGATACAAAAAAGAAGGTAGTTTCAATAAACAACTTTTTGATTAAAAGCAGCTTTTTGACCATTGCTCAATTGTTAAAAATTCGAAGCGACGTTAGGGGGGATTTTATATCATAAATTTGGGACTAGGTATGATATAGTTTTATTAACATTTACCTTTTAAAAGTAATTAAAATCGTATCTTAAAAGTGTTTAAATTTTACATTTAGGTTAATAAAACTTTAGTGAACATATATATCTGTGATTGTAAGGAATCGTAGCTTATGTCGGGTATACGGCGGCATTGCCTATATTCTTTAAACAAGGAATTTTTTGAAGGAATTAATAAGAATCTTGCCTTGCTAATATCGGAACTATTTCTTGAACGTTTATTTGCTTGTGAACTCCCAATTTTCTTTGTCCATTTTACTGCATGTCTTTCAAGTACCTTGAAAGTGGAATTTACTTTGGGACGCATGCGCCTCATGACTTTCCGAGAAGTGAGTATTATCCACTTCTGGATATCGTTGGTTCTATAAGCAAAATTAAAATATATTTTACTGTTCAATATTGGAGAGGGTGTGAAAGAGAATAGTCCAAACTTTAAGTCAAGTCACCCTTCTCCTCTTTGACCCCTGAAAGAAATAGCATTTTGACCGAAAATGTTAACTCTGGTTACGCCAGCCACATGATTTAATCGCAGAATACCATTCCGCGATGGAAACATAACCGTAATCTATCCAACTCCGACTATCACAGTATATTTTACAAAAAAGTGCATGTTTCACACAGAATTTATTGATAAATTAGTGTTCGAAAATTGTAAATCTTTATTTTTAACTAAATTTGAATCCTTGGATCACAGGCGTATGTTAACAGTTTTTGATTTGGGATTACGCGTGTGGACTTAATAACCCAAAAGCATTGTTCAAATAACTAAACCATACCAAACAAATGGCCGTTTGCTTATTCCAATTTCGATTATAAGAACAAAATGTTTTAAATAAGCAAAAGATGAATAACAAAATTTTAAGGATTTTAGACATTGGATATGGTAGCACTAAATGTCACAATCTGCTTAATTGTCAGGTTGTTAATATGGCGACGAAAAAGTGACAATGGAACTACCTTCTTTTTTGTATCATGTTCCGATACTATACAAGTTGATGTTTTTTGAAATATTTTAAGCTTTTATTTGCATTAACGTATGTATTTGACAAAAAAAAAAATATTATTTTTGATATTCCAATAATTATATTTATGTTATACTGTTAGATACGTAGTTATAGTTCCAGTTTTCTTACAAGAATCCTATGAAAATTCACTATTTTGCTACTATCTCCCTCACTACCACCGTAATACTTCTTGGCGTAATACTTTCAGTCTGGCTCTTGCTTTAGCAAGTTTAGTTTAGTTAGAATTTAAAAAACATCATATTAAATTTTGAACTTACTAAACGGAGTTGAAAAATTAGTTGCCTTCCCCAACTTTTCAGGGCTAAAACCTGTAAAACTGTTAAAAAGCAAAAGAAGCCAGAAAACCGAGTACGGGAACGCTTTCTGGTAAATTCCTGTAAATTCTTGCTGATGTCTGGCACAATGTTAGCAACAACGGACATGTCTGGCAATAATAAATCTACGTTTCTAAAAGCTAGTTAAAGCCAATGAAAAGAAAATTAGCCTTACTAAAATGATTTAAAAAATTAGCATTTTTAACTGTAAAGATATGAGCGCACTAGTCAACGCAACCATTACCGCCTGCCAGATGGCCTTCACGCTAACCGAGGGAGTGAGAGAGATGTCATATCAAAAAACCAGCTGTCCTGAAATTCCTGTTTTCACGACGTTGCTAGCTCTCGTACTATAACGTCTTGAATACTAACCCTTTCGACCCGGATGGTACATATGTTTACCACTTAAAGTTTAAACATCCTTAAAAGATACAAATTTGTTAAATTTGTGAAATGTACCTTATCGTCTGTAAGCTTTGCTGAATGCATTCTTAAAGGTTCCGTTAAATTTTTGTAAATGTTTGTGCTCGCACGACTGTTATTTGTGAGTTGCGACGCAGCCAAAATGAAGTGCGTAGTTGGTTTTTACTTGATATTGAATGCTGAAGTGCCAAAAATATTCACAGAAAAGCAAAATTAAAGTTTTTACGAATGTTTACAATTATGGCAGGTGTGTATTTATAAAAAAATATTGTTTTTATGCTAATTTTAGTTAATAGTACCTATTTGTACCAGTAGTCCGTTGAGTAGTAAATAATGTGATTCCCCGTTTCGAAGAAAACTGTTAGTTTTTCCAGAAAATGGATCCTGAATATATTCGAAAAATTCTGAGAGTGCTGGCGACTCAGAAGACTTTTCTGGAGGAAGCTCTGAAGAATTTGTACCAAGTGGTGTTCTAACTCCAGCGATAACGAAGATTCAGCAGACGACGGAAGCTCTAAATAACTTTTACCAACTGGTGTCTCTAGTTCCAGAGATAACAAAGATATACACATGACATAATGAATGAGGTGAATGAGGCTGCCTAGGGAGTACTTGTCTGTAATGAACCAGCTAGCAATGACTTTATTTCCAAACCTGTCGCGTCGAATATCAATCCCATTTGAAGTACTCCTGACAATGATTTCTTACCTAAACAAACTGTTTATAATCCTCATAACTGCATAATAGCAGACCACATACCACGCTATTCGTCTGTTATTGACTATTTCCACGATCACTTTATATGTGTATACCCTGCAAACCAAAGTTCCCGAAATCTTAAGGAAATCGTTAGGAGTATCTCATTTCTGTAATGATTTTTTTTACGAATTTTCAAAGAAAATTATATGAAATGGTTGACACGAGCTCGTAAAGAAATTTCGGTAAAGAAAATTCTGGAAAAATTCTGAAAGATATTCTTCACATAGCACCATTATTTTCGTTGCTTCACAGATTTTCTTCCGAAATTTCGTAAAAAAATGGAAGTGTGCGTAATTTATTTCATTTTAGAAAATTCGGCAAAAAATCGAATTAAATCTTAACGAATTCTTTAAAATTTCTTTACAATGCAGAATACTCTGAAAAAATGGTTTGCAGGGTATATAGCCCAATGTACAAATGAGCGTATTAAAATTTACGTAAGCGAAACTAAAGCCAAGAATGTAAAAATAAGTGAGCCCAATGCTAGTGAAATAAAACCAATTGTTGTCGCGCCATAAATCGCTTGGTATTCAGTTAATGAAGGAAGCAATTAAGAAATTGATTCTGGAAGGCTTACAAACCACAGCCGTTCGTCGATCAATGAAACCAGGCCGCGCGCCACAAACCGTCAATCGCAAGGCAATGCATCATCCGGGTGAAGGAGGTACCCGACGTCGTTGCACCAGCTGCAGTGTAAAAAGAAAAAACAGACACGAACTAAGACAATCTGTAAGGAGTGTCAGTCCCGCTTTGCAAAACGTGCTTTGCACCATATCATACGTGCATTATATGTCAAACACATTTGTCATTATTACCTTCCCCTTCTTCTTCAATTATATGGACACAAATAAAATATAAAGTACTATTTATATCATTGTGCCTGTTATTCCTAACTGGTATATTTTGTTTTACTGGACGATTGGTACTTATTTGTACCACATAACATCCCGGATGGTACAATGGTGTACCACCACCCTTCGAGCCACCCTTTCATTGTTTCTCAGATTTTAATTCAGCGATAATTTATATATTACTTAAATAACCGGCTCCAATCAAACATTTTATTTCAGCATTGCTATTCGAAAGCCGGGTCGAAAGGGCTAAACTCAAGCTCGAAAGTCTGGTTTTACTTACACAGAGAAATTTACGTTTTCAAATTTGTATGGAACGTTTTATTTTTAAAAACGTTTTGACCCAGTTTTTACACCTACAATATTTATTTTAGTTTTGAGAAAAAAAAATCCTCAATTCATATTCTAAAATGTATATTTAGTTTTTAAAATGAAAATTTTCAAATCGCTTTTTAAAACGATCGTTTGATAATTGGAAATTCTCATATTCAGATGAGAATCTAAAATTTTTATTTTACATATATTCCAAAATATGCGTTTTCAAATATGATTTTGGATTTCTATTTTGATTAAAACACAAAGTCATTCGATATTTAAAACTATACATTGTCATACATTTATTGATATATGTACATATGTAGACATACTTACATATGTATTAATTAGTTACAAAGCTTAATAACTGAAAGATATGTACATATTCTGGCTTTTCCTCCACGGGCCTTGATAATTTTGATTAACGCTGGTTAGATCCTGTAATATACATAGAAAAATTTACAATTATTATTAAATAACGGATTAGAATTTGTTTTTGTAAGCAAGTCTTACCAAAGCTTTTCTCTAATCAAAAATGGGTATCGTATCAGCAACGTTCCTTTCATTAAGTGGCGTAACGATATCATATTTCCGCATCTTTTGCTATGTATGTATGAATGTAGCTTGAATCATCTGCACAAAATTTTTCCGATAAATAATGCAAACAGATGAAAAGTATTTCAGTTTTATAAGTTGCTTTGAAAAGTCTAATACTAAACGTTTTCGTTTTAAACCACTCTCATGTTTATTTAACTGAAACGAAATTTTCATTTTTGTTTTAAAAGTGTTCGTTTTACTTTTCTAGTTGGAAATTTTGTCGCACTACAATTTGTAGGAACAATATTCTAAAACGTTTCATTTTAGTTTTAAAAAGGCACATTTTGGCGTAATTTTTTTCATTTCAAATGTTCTCCTCAGTCAAAAGACAAAACATGATATAATGTTCGTTCTTATTTTGCGAAGATTACGTTTCAAAGTCTGTTATACAAGTAGTGTATTTTTAATTTTGTATGAAGTAAAATTGTTCCAAAAATGTTTGTTTTGAATACATGGGTTTTACCTGAATCATTTTCTCTGTGTATGAAAGCAAATCCCAATACGCTGTTGGCACGATCTCTGAGAACAAAATCATAGAGCTGTTTATAGTTTTAATATATTTTAAATAGATTTGGATCCCAAAATTTCTTAAATATGTTGTACGTCAAAATATATTCGAAAGACTGCACTTAAACACTCTTAAACGTTTTCTGCTCCTGGCCAGTTTTCTAAGCTCTCATCCTCTGACGAATCGTTCAAAAGAACTCCGTTGTACTAATTAAAATTTTCTACCACGTTTTTATAAACTCGCTTTCATTTTTTGTTTCATTTTAATTTGCACAAATTTACATATGTATGTACATATGTACATTAGGGTGGTCCAAAAACCAGTAAAGTCGGAATTGTAATACTCTCACTCCCTATAATTGTTTTATATCGAAAAAAGTATACCCCTATTTTTTTAAATTGTAATCAAAAAATATTTAGAGGTCGCTCAAATCGCTCAAAGTTTTCCATGTATTTTTATATGGGGGAAAAACAACTTTTCGTAGAAATTGTATAGAATTATTGAAAATCAATATTTTTCGATCAGAAAACTGGTTTTCCTCAGGAGACTTTCAATAATAATACCCAATTGCTTGTTTAATCATTTTTTAATACTAACGATATTTTATTGGTCCCCCATTGTATTTTTCGGGGTTTTTGTGGGTTTTTGGCAGACCTATGAATTATAGTTGTGATGAAAAACTGGTTAAATAAACAATTGGGTATTATTATTATTATTATTATTGGGAGTCTCCTGCAGATAAACAGAGTTTTACGATAGAAAAATATTGATTTTTAAGAATTCTAAGCCATTTCTACGAAGTTTTTTTTCCCCATATAAAATACATGGAAAACTTTGGGAGCTTTGAGCTACCTCTAAATATTTTTTGATTTCAAAATAAAAAAATAGGGATATATATTTTTTCGGTATAGAACAATCGTAGGGGGTGAGAGCATAAAAATTCCGACTTTACTTTTTCACATGCATTTTTGGACCACCCCGATGTACATATGTATGTATAAGCACACTATTTAGTTTGCTCCATTTGTAAACAAAGCTTCTCAGCGGAGAAAAATATACTATTGTGAACAACCTAAACGAGCGAAATTCACAATAGTACTATTCTTCATCGAATGAGCGCCATAATGCCAAATGAAAATTCGTTCGATCAGCACTTTCGACCACAGTCGAAGATCGAATGCAACTCATAATAGGGGCCATAAGGTTTTAATTTTTCGAAGACCCGACCTATAGAACCTGTAATATAAGTTTGCACAAAAAAAGTTGTATACCATTTAAATAATATATTTTTAGTTTTTTAGTTACTTACATATAATAATAAAAAATAATTCTTTACCAAAGGTCCTATTTCGAACTTCGAATCCCGATTTCGGAGGATAACTTCGAAACACGGAGAAATTACTTTTTACCTATGACTCAATCTCCTAAAAAAATTGGTTTGATCCAATACCCAGCCGAGTGCTGTACAGTGCAATGATTCTAGTATCTTCATTTATGTACATATATTGTAACTATCAATATCTTGTAAAGAGAAGTGTAAATTTTAGAACGACGAAGTTCGAGGATGTGGTAGTTAACATATTAGTCCTTGACATTTATTTTTTTCAAAAATAATTATTTATTCGTTAATTTTGAGCTCCAGGCCGGTTGTTAAATAAAACATATATTTTGGCGGTTTTATTTATTACATTTATTGCTGTCGATATTTCGCCTTCAATCTGAAGGCATCTTCAGGACTGAAAAACACCAAATGCATACATATTTACGTCAAATTACAAAAAACTTACATCACAAACGCAACTTACATTATTGAGTTTTTCCAATCGACTAATTCTATGTGCAGAAAAATATTAACAAACAAGTTCAAAGAACACTTAAACATAAACAAGAGAATTTAAGCAAGTCGAAATACCGTAAATGTAAACAAAAAATATACAAACAACAATACGTGAAGTGGTGGACAGTAGGACGGAGAGAATCTGTATGTAGAAAAGCACGGCATAGCATTGTTATTGTCGGACGAAGTACTGGTGGCGGACCGACGAACAATAACATGAACACATAAACACATGACACCTACGTTATTGGATTTTGTGCGTGAGAATTAAATTGCAATAGACATGAGCGCAATTGTCTGTGTCCGTTTTAAAATTCATCCTTCTATTATTAGGGGTGTTCATGATGTGTAGCATCTCTAGCGTATAACGTTTATTGTAATTTTTCTCTTCCTGTAAGATTGCTACATTGTCAAAATCGGGATAATGTCCCATATTTTGGCAGTGAGATGTTAAGGCTGTCTTATTGTCCATAGAGTTATTCCTTAATTTTATGTTAGATTTATGAGCGGAAATCCTTGTCTTCAACCAAATCTAAATTGATATAAATATATGTTTTATTTAACAACCGGCCTGGAGCTCAAAATTAACGAATAAATTATAATAAAAACGGCCAAAATCAAAAAACGAATCAAAAATAATTATTGGAAATCTCCAAGGATAAAGTTTTAAAAGGACATTTTCAACACTTATTCGTCCTGGTGCACCTAAACATTAAGTTTGTTTTCAATTCTACAGAATTTTTCCTTTTAATTGATACCCATATTGTTACTACAATACACCAAATCTTTTATATAATGCTTTTATTCAATCATATACTAGAAATTTCAGTCCTTTAAAAAAATCCTGACATCAGAGAGAAAAATTAAAAACGTTTGTTATACTATATTTGGCTCCTAGTTTTGTGAATACATTGATTTTTTCGTGTTTTAAAATTTTTTGGTTTTTGTCGCACGGTGTTAGTGCGCATATTTTCGATATTTTAGTACATGCGATTCCGAGCCCTAATTATAACCCTTACGAAGCAGAATTCCCCTTTCTGTGTTGCCGGAAAAGAGGAGCGGAAGCATTTTTGCGCAGAACTTCTTTGTGCGTATGCGCTAGGGATGTTGCGAATGTGGAATTTTAGACATCCGCGGATGCGAATGCGGATGCGGATGTTTAAAAGGTAACATCCGCGGATGCGGATGCGAATGCGGACGTCATATATTTTTAAGAAATAATTTAGGTGGGTAAATTAGGTGACTTAGGTAAATAAAAAATGGAAAGGTTAGTAATTTTTAATAATCTGACTTATCCTGGGTTTCGCCCGAAAATTTGTATTCAGCCCATAGTAAATACACCAAAAGTGAAAAGAGAACCAGTTCGGGAAAAGTGAAACTCATCATAAGACTGAATGTTTTTTTTAGTACTTGAATTTAAAAATTGGAACATTGTATTCAATAAAAACTTTTTTTTTTTTTTAAATCAAACCTGCGCCTCTATATAACTACTCGCTCTAGGCGACAAACTTGAAAAACTTGGAAACTTGACAAAATTGTAAATTCCTTTCGATTGACACTGCACCAGTTGAGAGGACTTTCAGTTATATTTATTTATTTTTATTGCGGTGCAATAATTACTTTCTGAGAATTTCATCGGGGCCACAAATGTCGGATGTATCGTCCTGACTTTCCTATTCACAATCTAGCATCGTGGCGATCGTTGTTTAAACACCATTGTTTTCCAAAGAATTCTTCATTCTTATTCTTTTGGTTGTTTCGGAATTTGGAGAACCTATCACGTCATCAGCGTTTTTCGATTTTAGTTTTTGTAATTAATTTTTAATGCTTTCTTCTGTGACTGGTCATACATGCGTGTTATTAGTGCACTTGCATATTATTCTAGGGACCGAAAATAACAGTTATTTTTTTACGAGGTAAATTTGGCGTACTGATTTTTATTCCGAAATAAACGACCTTTCCGAATAATAAACAAACCGCTTATCCAAATTAAACAAATTGAAATATGAAAGAGGACTGAAATAGCTTTTAAACAGAAAAAACGAACGAATATCACTACCTCGATTTTTTTTTTATAATCTAATACTAAAGAAATTCATATATGTAAATACATACCTGACCCATGGTTTGTTCTATGGTTATTAATTAAGATTTTTTATTGAAATATTTTTCAACATGTGGCTTTCCTCGTTTAGACATTTCAGTTTTAAAGCTATTTAAGTCCTCTTTCATTTGATACCAAGCTTGTTTAATTTGGATAAGCGATTTGTTTATTATCCGGAAAGGACTTTTATTTCGGAATAAAAATATTTGGCCAAGTTTAACTCTAAAAAAAACTGTAATTTTCGGTCCCTTCAATATTCGGATTCGCAAAAGATACGCATTGATTTTTGCGAACGCGAAAGCGAATGCGAATGTTAAAATTAAAGAGGAAGCTCCGCGGTTGCGAATGCGAATGCGAATATTCGCAACAACCCTGGTATGCGCCCTTCGGCCGCGCTTAGGGATTATAAGTTATTATAAGTTAATATTTATATAATTTATAACCCTTACTAAGTAGAAGTAATGCACAGGAGAAAAAAACGAAATTATTTATATGCACACTTTCGGTTGAAAACCGAAATAATGCATATGTGAAAAACTAAGTAATGCATACATGCACAGTTTCGGTTGAAATCCGATATAATGCATATGGAAAAAACGAAGTAATGCATATATTCGCAGTTCCGTTTGAAAAGTGAAATAATGCGTAGAAAAAACCGAAATAGTGCATATATGCACAGGTTTGACTCAAAACCGAAAAGACGCATATGAAAAAACCGAATTCATGCATACACGCACAGTTTCGGTTAAAAACCGAAACAATGCATATGAGAAAATACCGAATTTATGCATATGCATACTTTCGTTTTAAAAGCGAAATAATGCATATGAAAAAAAAACAAAGTAATGCATATGTACATGCACAGTTTCGGTTGAAAACCGAAATAATGCATATGACAAAAACCGTAATCGAGCATACATGCACAGTTTCGGTTGAAACCGAAATAATGTCTAAATGCACAGTTTCCATACGCGCAATTTCGGTGCCCCGG